TTGCAGGGTAAAGTGGAGTGGCATGCATCCCATACCCCCTGCCCAGTCATATACTTCCTGTTATTCACATAGACAAAAGTAAAATCTTCTCAAAACCTGTCAGGTACAGGCCAAATATTAAGACAAAAGAACAAATAAGAGAGGAAAAGGTCTAGGGAGGAGATAGTTAAATGTTGTTGGTATGTGGTAATTATGCTTGCAGGGTTATGCCTCGCTCAAGTTTAGATATGCTTAGTTAAGTATTGTATAAGCATACTAGGTAAAATTAAATATAATAACAAGTATGAAATGAGTGAGTGAGTATGAGTGCCAGCTCCTAATCACATGTTTTACAGACCACCAATGGCTTCCTTTGGTTACACATAATTTTAATGTAGAGTATTGTATAAACCTGAAACAGAGCTGTTTCCTTGAACTTCCGCCTTGCTTTTATTTCACCAAAGCGAAGGGCAATAACAATGCCTTCTTTGGGCTCTGGAGCCACACGTTTTCTTCTTTCCTCTCTTATCTAGACAGACGAAAACAATTAAAATAATGTTTTTCACTAATTATTTCCCTTATTAATCGTTGCCAGCCTATTAAGTTACACATGTAATTTCCATATGTACATTATTGTGAGTTAAATAAGATACACTCTTCAATAGACAGTATCTGTTGTTTGAAAACTTACAATCACTTCTGTTTGAGACAGTTTTTGCAGCTCTTTGTCATCTTTCTCTGTTTTGTTCTCCTGCTGCACTTCATGCTCATGCTCCTGTGTTTGACCAACAGACATTATTTGTTTGTAATAAATACTAAAGAGACAAATTTAAAGCCCAATGATAAATGATAAAGATGAAATTTTCATTATGCCATGAGCAAGGGATTAAGAGAAAATCTGAGTCCCCAATGGGAATAGATGCCATGAACTCTCAGATACCTCTGAGCTAGGAGACACTTGTGGAGAGCTGGGCAATTTTACTGGGTTGGTATGTGGCATGCGTCCTGTATACATTGCTGATCATAGCAGTATCTGGGAGGCCATGGGTTTGATTCCCTTCAGGGACATAATGAACATTTCATGTTTATCATTAAAATTGTTGTATTTATTGCCATGTCACTGGAGTAGAATTGAGTTTTTAAATCTGCAGCACTCTGCATCTTTCCTTTTGTCGTGCTTTAAAGGTGTTTTAAAGTCCACTAAGTAAAACATTTTTTCTTCAATAACTGGTAGCATTTGTTGTTTGAATACTAACTTTGTCTGATGACTGATCAGTTCCCTCACATGCTGCAAGCTGGCGCTCTTGCTCGCGTCTCTCCTCACGCCATCTTGCAAGTTTTGCTCTAAGTATAGAAATTTACACCAAATTTGCCTTAATCATGCATGAAATGAGTGCTCAATGATTAGACTGTTATTTATGATTGGTTGTTAAATATGGTGTCTGTGATATGTAAGTTACACTACATAATAATTCAAGAAAGCAATGAAATTACCTCTCTAATGCAAGCGATTCAATCATAAAGGTTGCTCGCTCACATATGCTCATTGTTGAATGGGACAGCCAATCATAGTCGTCCATATCTGATGCTGCAATTGATTTACAAATAAACAACATGAAAGGTTTATATATTTTTAACTATTACTCCTTGCAAGCCTACTTTGGAAAATGTCTGTTGGAAGATAGAAGATTTCTGATTTTTTCTAAAACTCATTCATACTCTCTGAAAAAAAAAACGTTTTAAATCTAAGACGTAACCTCAAAATAGTAAAATTATTAACAGGGCTTTTCAGGACCAATGTTAACAAACACAGTTAAAAGAAACAGTCCTTTTTTATAAAGGCTGTATACTGGCAGGGAAAAGCTCAATTCAAAAAAAATGTTTTAATAATCTTCTTACAGCATTTTATCTTTTAAAGATATGTTCTTTTAATAAAGATATGTTACTCATACACTTTCAAACCCATTAAAGGCTCTGAACAAAAGCAGTGTTAACTCCAAACTGTTAGCCAGCTTACATTGTAGTAGCCCATTTCAATATGTAAAATACCACATAGGCACCAAACAAAACCTTTTGAAAAGCTTTTCGCCGGGGAACAAATAAATCACAAATGGGTTGGGGGTACACAATATGTAAGTTATACTTTAAAAATGCAGATCAATACAAAACAATTTTGGAAAATTATTTATCAAGTAACAAAATGAGGGTGGTTAAGTTTTCAGAGCAAACCATACTGATTTCAATGTCAAAAATTGTGTCACCTTCAATCCGCTCAATGAAGGTGAGATTTCTTCCGGCTGATGGAGTTAAAAATATCAACTGGTCCACATCATTACTTCTGTTCCCATACAATTTGAGTGCTGTTTAATTAAAAAGGACAAGGAAGTGTTAGGATAAGCAGAAAAGCAGTTTCATTAACAGAACTTGCTATCACACTTTTGAGATGTCATACAAATACAATTTGGCTTACTGTTAAAAGGGTTTCAGGAAATTCCTTGTTAACTATGTTTATGTTTAACCAACCTTCTTGGCCATCTTTGGATGTTGTTTCCGCAATCCAGAAGAGCCAACCTTCCTGGCATTGCCCAAGTACCCTCTGAAAAACCCTTGACAAAATGATAACATCTGAGTTAGTTTTAAAAAGTGTGCATATACAGTAAAATTTAAAATTTATTATTATATAAGTTGGTCGTTCCGTCGGTTGATCGGTCGATCCTTCTTTCCTTCCTTGGGTCGTAAACTTTTGTTTGTATTTCCGCTGACGAAGAGAAAAATGTGGTCGAATGAAATGTGTTTAATAACATGATGCATGCAATGCATGAATGTCGAGCAAAATAATAAATTATTATAAATGGAAAGCACTTATTAACTTCTTGGGGGAAAAAGAAAGAAATATCACATCAGAGGGAAAAGAAAAAGAAAAAAAAAATTTGTGCGTTTGCACGCCCGAGTCCTGAGGTTTAAATACATGTAAGGGACAAATGTAAAAAAAAAATTTTTTTTGCAACAAAGCCAAAACATTTTCATCTTTCTGCATATACTCATGCATGTACTTCATCGTGCAAAATAGTCATAGCCTAAAGGCCTTTGATTTCTTTGTGCAATTATTTACTGATCCTAAATTCAGTGCTGAGCATGGCCAAAGAAAATTTTTTGTTCAGGAAATTTTTCATGAATTTATATTGATGCACACCTTTACATAATATTGATTATTGCTCCAGAATTCACACCTTCATGCAGTAACAAAAAGGAAAGACAGTTTAATGTTGTCTTATGTTTTATTAGTACTCAGAAAAAAGTCCAGATAATGGACTTCAGACTTGTAACGGATACCTTGTAGATTTTATTTTTTCAGAATTTTTCTTTACTCCTTCCTCCAAAAAAAATCTGTTTTTTTTTCCATGGGAAATGGTGGACAAATCATAATGTTGATTTCTTTTGAAATTACATTAAGCTGTATTATTTTGCAATCAAATATCTGGTTGAATTAACAACAAACAGTACAATAATACTATACAATGTACATCCAAACCTCAACGTTGCCTCATTCAATTTCCCATGCAAAGTTGTATTGGGGCGCAGTAATAGTGCCACTACAGGTTTTTTATCCTCACGAGCCTGCCAGCATAGCTACATGTATTTGTAAATCCAGAACAAGAACAAGTTTAACTATGCAATAATCACAATTTTAAATTGGGGGCTCACGGTTTCAACATTAAAACCCCCACATAAATCGCCCACTTTCTAGCACAGGATTTTAGTCATTTCCCGCACGTATTTCTTGTAGGTGTTTTGTTGTTCACACCCTAATTGGAACGTTATTTGTACTACAAAGCTCTAGTATAAAATAAGTTCCATTTATGTATCTTGTAGTTTTATCCTGATGAAGTCTCAGTAGCATACGAAGCCGGTCGATTAATAAACTCAGTTATACAAGGCAAGTTGCTGTGTGCTGCTCTTAAGTTTTTTTATTTAAAAAAGAAAGCAAATAGATTAATTAAAGATTGACTGACCGACTGACAGATTGACTATAACAGCAACAATATACATGTATCTTTATTGCTTCTAATTCTCCAAAGGGAGACGTTGGTCTGATTGAATGAATGAATGAATGAA